ATGTGGCATGCGGAAAAAAGTGAAAAACTAAAAATTAGTGGCAAAAATAACCCAGTGATTTGCAGTTAATATATTTCCATATAAGGTATAGTACTTTTGAAGGGTTTTCACGAATAGAAATAGCTGTGTTCTTCCAAATATACTATTTTAACTATTTGCCTAAATGTAGGCAATGTTTTACTAAGTATTGTATTTTTCATGTAAAAATCGTAAACGTTGCCTACATTTAGGGTTGATTTAGTAATCATTGTCAGTGTTCTAGCTTCAAAAACACACGCCAACTCCGAGCCAGCTCTCATGCCATACCGCTACTAGATTTATTTCACAGAAAGGTCATGCTTTTGCTCTTTGTCTGTTGTCTGCCATTTGTATTTTCGTGCTTTTTAGCAAATACTTTTTCAAGCTTTTAATCGTGCAAATTTTTGACTTCTATTTTTAAGCGCTTTTGATTGCTTGTTCGCCGTAGATAAGGGTTAAAGAGGTTAATAGCGGATGTCGAGTGTTTCAACAGGCTTGTACATAAGTATGTACGCTAAAGTCTCAATTGAGGATAAAAATGTCATCTCTTGAGACTGCTGATATGATAATTAATTTATTTTTGGGGTTTCTAGTAGATCACGTTCATGTTAACGTAATGAAATATTTAAAAATAATTTAACATTAGTTCATATTCATTTTTTCGCATATTATATTTTGTATCATCGATTCTTCTTTCTAGTAGTGCTAGTACTAGTACCAATTGTTATCGCTTGAAACTTTAGCAACCGCTATATTGTCTAAAATATGTGTTAGTTCATCTACCTCTGAGTTATCTATTTGTATTTGCTAACCGACATGATTATAGGCTACATATGTAAAAAAGACACTGTTAGTGGGTTACTTCTATAATAGGTTTCAAAGTTGTTACCGTGGTCTGTTTGACTGATTTATTTATTGTAAGTTATATTAAAACTAATAAGCTTGAAATTTCTTGATAAAGTCAAATTGCTTAAAACCTCGCCTAGGTTTGAAAAACTCGAAAATTTTGGGTTGTTAAAACCCAACGATACTTTTCAGAGATCTTTAAGTTCATATATGGTAATCGGTTTTGGTTCTTTTTTTTGATTTTTTTTAAAAACGACTTATTAAAAATTTATCAGTTCTAAAGTTATACAGCGTGATTGCAATGCGATCCTAGTTATAATCAAGGGATGCCGGCCGGACGTTGAGGGTAGTTGGAGCTGAAGAAGCCTGTAGGCCTAATACTTATAGTTTTTGGGAGTATATTTAATCCTCTTATAACATTACTACCCGAATATTTTGCTAAAAAATTTAGATATGCATAATAATGGAACCATATGTCTTATTTTTGTAGTTGGACGGCGATTCGGATGACTTGGAGAGCCATTATTAGCTCATATGTAGTTAAGAATTGTTCTCTTTTCTAGTTCTAGTACTTCTGACAACAACGGAAGGGTATAAAATATCTTATCAAAAATTTAAGCTTGTTTTAAATTCCAATCCAAAAAGTTACTAAGACATTAGTTCGGCCTAAACTCTCTAAAAAAAAGCAGACAAAAAGCTTTATCGCCATTATTTCATGGTAACCAGTCATTTTGTTATGGAAATATCTTTATCTATAAAGACGCTTCTTTATGAACTTTTAATAGGCGCTGTTGATACAACTTATTTATCTAATGTATTTATAGACTATTTTAAATTTTTTTCTGATTTTTCATAGTGAAAGCGTCTTTTCATTTCACGCCACAATTTATTCCAACACTCAATGCTCAGTTCCATTAAAAACCCATTATTCTGACCTATTTTTCTTGTTTTCCATTATGGAAAAAATTAGCTTTTTCTTTCAACAAACCAATTTGTATGCCAATTTAATCACGATTTATGCACTTTATCACTCTTTCATGGTTGAAGTATTGTTAAACCGAAAGCTATGGAAAATTGTAAATGCGTTGACAAATCGTGACAAAAAAACTTGCATAGAAATAAAACGCACAATTTTAAGTGGATTAAAATAAGCCCTACTGCTAGGCTAGTATGTTGTGCTATTGTTATCGAGCGAGAGAGAGAGTGAGAGAGACACTCACTGATTAAATTTATATTTATATACATAAAATTAAACATATATGCTCGTATGTACATATATATGTATATTTTATCTATGGATGTCAGTATTTGTGTGAATTATATGAAAAAGCTTAAAAGTTTTATATGAAAATTATAGTTCCATCTGTCATCGGGTTTCAGAAGAACAGCGGAATTAGTAAATATGTGAAAATAATTTATTGGTATTATATTTTTAAGGTTTATTGGTACAGCTGACATTGGAGATTATATTTGTACTAACTTAAATTTTTGTAGTCATTTAACCATTTAGCGTTTTTTAGACTCCTCAGCACATATCAAATTTCTTCTTCTTTTTAAATTTGCATCTGACATAAGATTCTTTTTAAGTTAGCGCTTTTCTGAGGTCACAGCCCTTTTAGATATATTTCTGGAATAAGAGTTAGTGTAATATATCTATATTTTATCATATTATTCTTTGTAGTGAAAGCTTTTTTACGCAAGGTTTTTTTTGTTTGCTCAAATTTAAGAAGTCTAGGAATCAATTTTAAAACTTTTTATGCTAAATCGTGAACCCTGTATTATAGCGATGGAAGCTCTAAAAGCGCAAATTGGAAGAAAAAAAGTTTCATAGGCCTTAAAAAGGCTCCCTTGATACTCTATAAAAGATTTTATATTTGATAACTATAAACTTTCATTTTAAAGACAAAACTTCCGGATTTATTGGAAATTTTCGATTTTAATACTACTATATAGATCCCAAATTGTGAGTTTCTGGTCCCCAAATTGCATAACCAACTCAAAAGCTTTCACGGTGTAATTTATTAAAATTGCTCATATGTTTGCGCTTTCATCTTCGAGCTTTCCTCAAAAGCTTGTCGTCATGCTAAAATAGTAAAAGTAAGCTTTCATGGTGTAACTTATTAAAAAAGCTCACAAAATTCTGCTTTCACCTCCAAGCTTTCCTCAAAAGTTTGTCCTCAAGCGAAATATAGTAAATATTTAAAGGGTTACTCGTTTAATTAGTTCTGAATTCTTAAAAGCAACGTAAATTAGGATTTAATTATTCTTAAGTTTATTTTTTAATTTAGATATGGTCGAAATCATCGTAGTAATTAACATAAATCACGCTAAGCATAATGGCTTAACACTTTTCACTTTTCTTGCCACTTAAAATCTTATCACAGCTGGTAAATAAGGTTTTCTTTAAAGACATACTGAAGAGAAAAGGGACTTTGTGACAAAAACAAACGAAGAAAAATAAATAAAGTAAAAAAATGTTGGTCAGTCAGTAATTTTTACTGAATGCCGGGCTTATTAATGAGTATTTGAAGTGGTACATGCATGCAGATAGTGGATAAAGAAAGAATGAAAGAAGAATGTAGGCATTCAAATGCCTACAGGTCACTCTCTGATTTTTTCTCACCAAGCGAGCTAAATACAAAGCAGACGAAATTAATGATATTGAGTTGAATTCTAAGCGATAAATGCAATAAACACTCGATAAAAAAAAAAATTACGAAAAAAAACGAAAAAAAAGTTTGAAAAAATATTACATCAACTGCATATAAAACGAGGTAATTCTTATGTCCAACCGAAAAGAAGTCGTCGATTTCGTCAATTCTTCCACGCAGCATGTGTAAAATTCAAAAATGTTAGATAGTAAGGGCAGCAAGTGAAAGAAAAATAGAGTAGGAGGGCAATTGATGGCAAAGTAAAGAGAACATTTCACGCATGCGCAAAGCTGTCTAGAATTATAAGTGTGCGCACTAACCTATACACATACATAGATATATGTATGCGTGGTATACACGAAATTACATGCACTGCACCGACTAGGGAGGATACGGAAGGTATAAACATAGTTTAAGGCCGTAATTAAATGGCGGCGATGATGATACCAAAATAAAGAAGATAACGAAAAGTCAGCTGAACCTTTGACACGACCAAACAATAATATATACATCTATGCCTCAATGATAGTGGCAATAAAGGCAGCGAAACAGGAAAACGTTGAGACAGGTAGTCAATACAGACTTGGCGGCAAACTAGAGCTGGTTTTTTTGGATTTGCGCATGAGCTGAGGCAGGTGTGTTTCAAAAGGTAGATATGTGCATACATTGTTTACGTTTGCAGCATGGTTGCTTGTGTATTTGACATCAACTGCAGCTTCTTCTTTATACTCTGCTCTTCGCTACCAGTTTGCTCACATATCCTTTTGCAAGTGAGAAATTCGAAAGACTTGTTTCTTAGCACTTTGTGTGGGTTTTGTTTTAGTTTTAAAAGGGAATAACTGTGCTGTTGTAATATGAACTATATCTATATATATATATACATATATATAATATTTATATCGCACTGCTAATTTCATACATCAGTCAGGGTATGTACACATGTTCATACATATATACATATGCATGTGTTAACTTCGAACTACCGCTATATGTCGGCAGGTAATATAAACTTCTGCGATACTACTTAGACAGTAATATATGAATATTGCCTATTTTGATGTGTGATGGAATTTCCTGAAATTTTTTCGCTTTGTATCAAAGCTATTTGTTTTGGGTGAAATTTGGCAACAGTGCATAGCATTTTAATTCATATGATTCTTAGCATAATACCAACATTTTTGGCTGTAGTACCCATATTTATTGCATGATTAAGCCTTGGTGGTAATAAATAAAGAGCTCTAGGTTTTTTTGAGTTTTTCTTGTGCTAAATTCTAACAGAATATGATCGATTTATACTGAGTATTTCGATCCGTAAATATTCATTAATTATACTGCATTTTTTTATAGGAACAGTGGTTCAGAGACTGCCGTGTTTCAAGTTTATAGAATTTTTCAACAATTTAGGTTACTTTACATGCACTCAGAAAACGATTGTTTCGTTGATTCGTCATTACATCTGATATGAATTCAATTTAAAAAACGTTTGTATTTTGGATTTCAGCAATTTCTATTATTATTAATTTTTTATATTGTAAATGTCTAGTTAATTCAGTTATATATATATTTTAAAGTTAAAACTGCGTATTTGTACATTCCGTCACCTTTCTATATAACTTATTATATTTAATAAGCTTTCACTATTAAACGCCTAGAAAGCTTAGAAAAGGTTATGTTCGCATTTCTTTGCTGCTTCGGCTAACTTCATTGCTTTTTTCTGGCAGATAAACTTATATTTAGCGGCACAATCGGCATCGGACCACAAAGATTGCACAGTTTTTCCAATCAACAAGCAGTTCTCGCTGTTATTGCCATTGGGTTCGTTAGTATCCCAGTTGGATGTGGTGATTGTTTCGCCACCAAGTCCCCACACCCAGTTGCTGCCATAAAGTTGGTTGCCAGCGGACCAGTAAGAGGTGTCTTTCACATCTTTATGTAAAAATAGCAAAAATAAATTTATTATATAAACATATTTTTAATATATATACGGTCTATACTCACCATACAATTCACGAAAGCCTTTGAAAAGTGTTAATAAGTCAACATTTTCAAGCGCCACCAGTTCCCAGCCTTGCGAGTAGCAATAGTAGTTGGCCTCAAACCAGGAAACCTAAATATTTCGTACATTTTGTAGCGTTGTGTGCTTTTTTCACCTCACCCATGATCAATACTCACCTTCTCGCTGCTCACGTAGTAATCGGTGTTGTCGCTCAGACTACCCGGCCAGCCGAAGGAGAAGTCATTATCCACGCTCAGTGGTGTGGCTTGGCTAACGCCCGACAGCGCCACAAATACGAGTAACAGCACTAATTTACCGCTAGATTGTTTCATTTTTTAATGTTTGCTTTACACTGTTTTGTTTGCAACTAATTTCGATGAAATTGCTCGTCGCTTTTATACAAAGAGAAATTGTGCAGTTATTTCTGTGTTTTTTTTTCTTGTTTTCAATATTCTTGTGTACTTAAAACATAATCGATGGCCTGACTTTGTGTCTGGCAATTTAATGTACACGGATTAAAAATTGTTAGTTTTAATGGATATTTTAGTTAAGTTAGCGCAAATATTTTGATTATTGTTTATGTACATAGTGTTGCTATTAATTATTAAAAATATACGATATATATCTCATATGGAATCATTTATCATGTTTGTTTAAGCTTTTGCGTGAAATTTTTGACTGCGATATAGTGTGGGGCCATTGCCAATATTGCAGGTCTATAGTTAGAAATATACGTATGTATTGTATATATAATGTCTATATTATACATACATACATACACATACATATATGGGTCATTCCATGGAAATTTTTCATTAAAATTTTTTTTCGTACAAAATATTTTTTTTTTGTGTTCTTTGAGGCAAACTATTGGACACGTATTTTTTATTTCGACTCAATATGAAAAATTTTGAAGTTATAAATTTTCAAAATTTTAACTTTTGAAAAAAATGCCTTTCAACATTTGCTTATACGAAGAAAAGTATCGCTTTATAAAAATAACTAGCCAGCATAGTCTTAACGATTTTTGCTTAGCTTTACAATGAGATACATTTGATTACAAAAGAAAACAAGTTAAAAATAGTTTCAAATTGACAGAAAATGAACTATTTGCTTATAAAAACGTACTTTTCGTTTATAAAGAAAAGTCGAAAAAATGCAACTTTTATTTCATTTGAAAGCAGAGAAAAAATCGTAAAGAATATGCTGGCTAGTTATTTTTATATATGTAGAAATACTTTGTTTCGTATTAGCAAATGTTTAAATTTTGAAAATTCATAGCTCCAAAATTTTTTATATTAAGTCGAAATAAAAAAATACGTGTCTCATATGTTGTCTCCAAGAATACAAAAAAAATATTGTTTTGTACGAAAAAAAATTTTGAATGTAAATTTGCGATGAAATAACCCATATACCCATTTACATTTATCCATTATCAAATCATAGCTGATAATTTTGTCGTTTTTTTTTCAATTAATAACTGTAAAATATAAACAGTAATTACGTATGCCACTAAAAGTCAATGGATATCTGAGATCTAGACGATTTATTAGGATCGGTATTATTTCTGTCACTTTCACATAGAAAGGTTATATACTACATACATAAATTTAATTCAATTTATAAAGAAAATGGAAAGGCTACGATTCGGGTATGATCGGTAAAAACAGTAGACAAATATCGGGTTGGGATGAAAATATTTTGAGAATTTGGTTGAATTTTATTGTGAAAATATTATATTAGCACCTTATACTTCATATCTTTCCGGAGATGATCGCTATAAAAGTCCTGTACCTAATTCAGTTACATTCAATATATTTGTAGGTAAGCGGGGACCTTATATACGCTGATTATACCATTTTTGGTACTCAAGCTGTTAAAATAATTTCCTCAGCCCATATTATACAGATATTCAACATGATGGCTGATAAATGCGGTATAAAGTGAAGTCTTATGGATTGAGACCATTGAGACCTTTTTATTATGCATGTTAGAACTAGGGGAAGGTAGGTAGATTAAAATTGTTTTTTTTTTATCACATATATACACAAAAACACTCCATTGGAAATATTCGTTCCGAGTCGGTTCCAATTTTTGTTCTACATTAATTTTTGGAAACTGTCTTCTGGCAGATGAAGTCGTTCTGTGTAGCACAATCCTGGTGGGCCCACAAAATATCAGTAGTATTACTGTGTTTTAATAGGCATTTAAAAAAGCTCACTGGTTCGCTGACAGCCCAATTGGTGAAGGCGAACTCTTGCCGCCAAGACCACAAAACCATGTTTTCTCATTGGCCAAACGGTTGCCAGCAGTCCAGTAATTATTTTGAGTCAGACCTAACGGTACATAAAAAACACAATAAATACTAAAATGGAAAAGGTTACTCGAACCTATCAACGAGTTCAATGAAGCCTTTCAGCAGAAGGTCTGACTCAAAGCTGTTGAGTGTGATCTGATACCAGCCGTTGGAGCAGCAGAAGTAGTTGGCGGCAAACCAGGAGATCTTATGATCCAACAGTGGTTGCAGGATTGCGTTCAATATTATATATAAACAAATATACAGTAAATTTTCTCACTTACGGGATTCGAGTTTCCTTTGCTATTTTCTAATTAACTCTGATCTATTTAATTATAAGAAACGTAAATTTTATTCAATAACTTTCTTTTGAAATCAAATACGGAGTACAGTTGAGGGCTATGTCAACCCAATTCATCGGCTAATATTCACAGCGGAATTTATCTTAAACAGGTATATTCACTACAATTTAGTTTTTAAATAACTTCGTAAAGAAGCATATCAAAAAAAAGTAAAATAAAAGTATTAATAAAATTATTTTAACGTAATGAGTCGCTCGTGGCAAGGCTTTGATTTTAATGTGGATATAGTCAAGCTTATCTGCTGTGCTTTTACTACTCATAAATGTATTCAGAAAGCTTAGATACTCATAAAACTATAAATCGACTGGATTTCTAATTTCGGGATTATGGTATATATGTATGTATATGAGGCAATCAAAATCTAGCAGCGGTTTTTGAAATATGTCTTTTTTTTCAAAATGTATAACCAGTAATAATATATACTTTAGTTAATTTCGGGATTAAATATTTTTAAAATTTATATATATATATTTTTTTTAATTACAATCAGTAAATATAATATATATACTTTAGTTACTTTCGGGATCCCGAAATTGCAACTTCAAATCCCGAAATTTCGGTATTAAAAATGTATGAATACTACTTCAAAATAAATTTCCTTTATTTGAAAAGTATATTTTTCGTTCTATTTTATAATATATAATTTATTTTATTTTTTAATTTATTTATATTATATTATTTTTATTAAATAAAAAAGCATGAATTTAATACCTCAAAATTGTATAAGATGTATATTCTTATTTCCTAAAGGGCTACTCTTTCGTATAGATATACTATATTTATATATGTATATACATATGTACATACATGTATCTAAATTTACAATATGACCGACACATAGTACTTATCGACATATAATTATGTCTCATTATGGGTTGATAATAAAAATATTAAATATAATATATAAATAGATCAATAATAATAATATTTAATGTGAAAAAATATAATTGATCGTTTTTCGAGCGCAAGTTTCCAAATTACACGTGTTTGATAGCCAATCGAAATTCTAAAATATTAGATAAAGCTGCAAGTAATCAAGCACACGTGCGATTAATATCGAAGAATTATTATATTATATGGCTCTGGGTATACCTTATACCGTTTACACTCATAGTTGGATTTGGTGTGGTAAATCACATATTAGAAATTCGATTTAATAAACAAAAATTCTAACATGCATTTTAGTGCCTTAGACGACCGCTTGAACCCGTATCTGTATGAAGTCATAGATGTATTGATTGAAATTTGAGGAATGCACTGCGGCCTATGGTTTATAGTGCCCTCTGCTGTTATCAAAACACTTCGTTTAGCTTGGTCAAATTAAAGCGATTTAGTAAAGTTCCGGGGTTAATAGTTGTAATGTGTTATTTCATCGGATTTTATTGCTCGATAGCCTGATTCCTTCTTCTTGTGGTTGCGGGGGAAAGATATTATCGAAGAGTGACTATGTTTGAGGATAATATCGATTTTTATGCATTTTAGAAAAATTATTTATGCATACACCATACCTAGTATAGATAAACCTACACATTCATATAACAGTAAAAATAGAAAATATATAAAAGTTCTAAAAGATTTAGCATTTCATCATATTAAAAACAGATATCCGTGTACGGACATATTCACGCTCAGTTTCTGCTTAAATAGACAAGCAAAACAACATTATTCCACTAACATTAGCAGTTACGCTGCTATCAACATGTGTAGCTAAACCGTAGTTGTAAATGTTGCGCAACATTTGTTGCCGAAAGTGAAAATGCACGCAAACATACACGGACACGCAACAACAATACGATCCACCACATGCGCGTTCCGATTCACGGCGTTCCCCAGCAAAAACTAACAAAACAAAAACGGCCTCGCGCACTGCCTTTGTAATTGACATGCAACAAGCGTTTGCCGCCGCCCGCATGCTGCAAATAACCACAAACATACACACCTACCCATGGCACACACACAGATACACCTACAATCCACAATTGGTAAACAATTTTGAGATACGAAACAGCCGCCGACTGCAAGTGTGGATTGTATCCGACAGATACGCGCACGCAACTCGTGCTGCGTTTCGTTTCACATGCACTGTACATGTGTGCGTGCGAATGTGTGTTTCTTTTGGTGATTCGGCTGTCTGCCCGGTTGGTGCCTGTGTTGCAGTGTCCGCCGATTGCTCGAGTCAGTTGCTAAACGTTTGCCGGCCTTATTGGATGTCGAAAGTCATTGATGTAACGGTAGTGTGCCGTACGGTTGCGCTCGGTCTCAGTTCGTCGTTTACGTGCGGTCGCTTTTCCTTCTACCTGCCCAATTTGTTGGTGAAGTAAAGGTCGCTAAGGAAAAGCGAAAATCGTCAAGCCTAGGCTTTAACTGCTTACTCTACACTGTGCAATGCAGAGTAGGTAGACGCGAGCGTTTCATTGTGTGTGTGTGTCGCTAAGCGCGCGTTGTGACAGAGTTTTTACAAAAAAACAAAATTTTCGATAGATTTTCAGCAAAAGTATGCGCATTTTTTCAAATAAGTGAACTTGTGCAAAATTTGATGCAAGCAAATTTCGTACGCTAAGTAAGTTACTAAATGCTAGTTGATACGTGAATATGTTTATTAGTTATTGGCGGACTGGTGTATTGTGTTGGGAAAAGAGGTGGAAATTTGAAATATACATTTTGAAAACTTTTTTGAAGTGCCTAATATAATGTTAAAAATTTTATGAAAACTTAAAACACTTATAAATCGGCAAGTCATGTTTTTGAGTCAAATGACCTGTGAAACCGGTCGTAAAAGAAATATCGAACGCGAATACTAATTAAAAATCAAATTGAAGAATTTTTATTTGGAAAACCACTTTGAAAATTATTAGATGATTCTGAGTTTTTTAAAGTGAAATGATCATAAATTTAAAATGTTAAGTTTTTACGTGTCAAATATAGTAAATATATAAAAAGAAAACTGTTTATGTAGAGATGTGCTATGCTGTAATTTGAAGGCATGCGAATATCTTGCCTTATGAGTGGAGTGAATAAACGTTGATAAATTATTTTAAAACATTTTAGAAATAAAAATAATTTATGCATAATTGTATACTCTGCCCAAAATGTTTAAAAAAATATACCAAACATATGCTCCAATTTGTATGTAGTGGATTTTGAAATCAACAATACTGAAATATACTTCTTATGGTATTATTGCGCATAAGAAGGCATTTTTAGAATTTGAAATCATATATCTGTTTTAAATTTTTTTTTTTAATATAAAACTCATTCCTTATGTTTATCATTTTTCAAAACCTTATTTTTTTACCTGCCAATTTAAAATCTCTAAATTATTAAAATTATGGGATTAAGTCTCTTAAGCTACTAAATTGAAAGTAAAACGTATACATATATGTTACAAAACAAAAACAATTTTTAAAACTCGATATATTAAAAAATTACTACAAAAGTAATTGGAAACGTTAAAAAAGTAATTAGAAATTTTTTAAATAATACAAAATTTTTCATAGATCGATTAAGACATGTCCGTCTGTCTGTAAACACGTGAACTAGTACCTCAGTTTTTTAGATATCGCTAAGAAATTTTGCACACTTCCTTTTCTCCACAAGAAGCTGCTCATTTGTTGGAATCGTCGTATAGCATATAGCTGCCATACAAACTAAATAATCAAAATCAAGTTCTTGTATAGAACCTCTTATATTTGTGAAGGGTATTATAGCTTCGGCGCACCCGAAGTTAACGTTTTTTCTTACTAAATTTAAAAAATATATGCATTACATTTATGTTACCAGACATTGAAGAAATATTTTTCTTTAACAATTTTACTAAAAAAAATTAAGACAGTATTCAAAATAACACATAAAGTGTTAAAAATATTATATGAACTAAAAATAGAAAAAATAAATAAAAATTATATACAATCTAAAAATTAAATTAAAATTATATAAAAATCAAATTTAAAAAATCATGAAAAAGAACAAAATAATTGTTATATATTTGATATTTAAACAAACTTAATATAAAAAATAAAGACAATTTTTATAAAAACAATAAAATAAAATAAAAAATAATAATAAATATTAAAAACCATTAAAAAACTTAAAACATACAACATAATAAATATATAAATCATGTAAAAATTAATTAAAAATTATAATATATCAGCAAAATTAATATTAAAAGCAAATTTTAGAAAATTTTGTAATACAACAAATACGTAACAAAAAATTAAAACACATATTTTAAAAAAATAAATAACACAAACTACTTAAAAAAAATAGATGTATGTAAGAAAATAAAAATAGTAAAAAAATAAAAGTAAAATAAAACAGAAAATTATAATAATTATTTAAATACAAAAAAAATTAAAAATTATTTAAATTAAAAAAAACCATGAAATACCAGAAAATAAAAAAATTAAGTATTATATAAAAATTACAAATTATTTAAATCAAAATAATTATTTAAATCAAATTAAAAAAAATCATGAAATACCAGAAAAAAAAAAAAATTAAGTATTATATAAAATATACAAAAATTACAACAAAAAAATTGTAAAAAAATATATTTTTTCAATGTTGCTAATTTCTTCTCGAATTTCATTGCAGATTGGCAACTACAGGCCAAATTATTAGACTTAAATGAAATTGTGTGATTTATTAAACTTATAATACAAAAATTACACCAAATTTTGAATATAACAAAGTCTAACTGGACTTATTGACATTGAAAAGTGCAACAAACAAAACTTTTGAGGCAGAAATAAATAAAAAAAGTGGAAGTTGAATGTTTGGAATATAAATACTAATAAAATAATGCAAAAATAATTTGAGCTAAAACTGAAATTTTACAACAAAATATTCAAAAAAGTATGCTTTAAGCAAAAAACTAAAGCATAGTGCCACAAATTAAAGTCCCAGCAATTCACACTCGCAACAAATCAACTCTAGTTTGCTGAAATGCTAAACCGTAGCACTCACATATAGTTATAGGCGAACAGCTTCAATTACAACAAAAAAAAAAAAAACGAATTGACAAATAACAAGTGTTTTATTAGCAGCCAGTGAGCGCTTGCAGCTGGACGCCAGCCAAGTGGAAAATACAAAACAAAAAAAAAAGTGAATAGAATTATAAATCAAAATCGCGCAAATCAAATATCGAGTGGAAACGAAGAAGCAACAAAGGATTTGCAACAACACACTTGTATTTGCACTGCAGTTAACAAGTTTCAAATAAAATGCAACAAAGAGCCGCCGGCAATACGCCACAGGCCATGGCTGCGGAGTGGCAGAGGCAGCAACGGCGACGCCAGCGGACAACTCTCGTCACAGCAGCAATGCTAAAAATACATACAAACGCTGCGTCATCGCTGCTAATGCGTGGCGCGATGTTGTTGTTGTTGCTGCTAATAGTCGACAACAGCGGTTTAGCTGGATTGCAGCATGTTGCAGCGCTTAAGGGTAAGTGTGCTCTACAAAGCAAGAAAAAAAATACCAAAAAAAGTTGAAAAAATTTAGAAAAATAGAGAAAAAAATGCAAAGAATGGAGAAAAAACTAGAATAGCTAGGCGCATGCAGCAAAAGTCGCAAGCAAGCAAAAACCAAAAATAAATTGCGGCATTAACGTTGCTACTTGCAACATTAGGCTGCGTTGTGGCACGCACTTCGCTTGCTACAACGCATTTTCCGGCCAGCTAAAACGACAAATTTACCAAACTGCGCGTATATGTGTGCGCGCATAGAAATTTGTTGAAAGTAGGCGTGGTTGTTGTCTTTTTTTCTGCTTTGAATTTCGTTTGTGTGATTTTTCTACTTCCTTAATGTCGTTGTTGCCCCTGCATAGCCTGTGACTTGTGCGCGCTATCAGTTGGCGCACACAGTTCGTTGCACAATCACAGCTCCACATACATACATACATACATACATACATAAATTACATACAAATACAACGTTATATCGGTTTGTCTGTCTGCATTTTGTGACAGATATTTATAAATAGATATCAAGCGTTGTACATCTGTAGGCACGCTGCTGAGCGCCAGCAAGATTTATTATTATTTATGTGCATGTGTTTGCATTCGCTTCAGTTCAGAATGTCAATGGCTCATCATTTGCCGGCTTAACGGCGACTGACTTTATGTTGTTGCTGCCGGTTGCCAATAGTAGCACGTTGATTAAGTTCACAGTTGTTTTTGTTATTTTAATTCTCATCGTAGACCCATATATATATAGTTAGCTATAGATAGGTATCTTAAATAATGCTTTGTTGTTGCTGTTACTGTTGTTTTCGTACTCCCCACCAGCTAATGCCACACAATTAGTGCGGCTGAACTTCTGGAGAGCTTTCACTGACTTAACTTAGATTTATATAAGTCCAAATTTTATGTTCCCCAATTGTTATTGTTGTTATTATTTTTGTTGTTGTTTGTGCGGTATTAAATCATCAGCCATATTTAATAACACTGTTTATTGAAAATAGAACGTTCTATGAAGATATCTTTATAGGTTATGTTTGTATATGTGTATCTCAGCTAAAGCATTCTCCCTTACTCTTCCTTATTTTCACCAGATTTTCCATATTTTCTATAAGCATGTCAATGCTTATACGTCACTTATATTGTCGTTTACCGTTAGCGCCTTTGCTTTTGGTGTTCACCACCACTTTAGATTGCCTTTATCATGCCTCTGGGAGGTGTTAAGTCAAAATGTTAAGTGCTCTGTGCACACCAACTCGTGTAGTCTATACATATATAGTTAAAATTGCAAATACTTGCAACACAAGCTCGTAGCATAAAGCAATATAGAGAAAACTACCAGCTGAGCGGCTTTAAACTGAAATTTCTGGCTTTTAGTTAAATTTTAAGTTGGTCTTGAGTGATACTGTCGTATCATTTTTATATGTTGCGAGAGAATTTGGAATGATCTCTCACATATATAAAGGCTTTACACCATTTTTCTCCAAATAATTGTTTATAAGCGTCCTTTAGTCCTTTTTATTCACTGAAGAAACAATCCTTGCTTATATTTATTACCTCTATACAGTCAATTCAATATTTGAGATATTGATTTGAAATTTTGCAAATGTTCTATTCTCCCCAAGAAGCTGCTCATTTGTCAGAATTACCAATATCGCATCACTATAGCATATAGCTGTCATACAAACTGATTGATCAAAATCAAGTGTTTGTATGGAAAACTTTTTAATTCGACAAATTTTCTTCACGAAGTTTGGTATAGCTTATTATCCAAGGTAAGGCTACAATTTTCGTAGAAATTGCTCTGATCGCTTCACTACAGCATATAGCTGCCATACAAACTGACCGATCAAAATCGCGATGGATATCATTTTACACCATTTCTGCTATAAGAATTGAATGTGTGAAGAGTATATAATAGCTGATTGAATATATTGGCAGCTATACTAAACCCTACTAAAGTCTGTCTTCAGCCATCGAAGTACATATTCCAGTTTTACAAAAGTTGCACAAAATTTGGCCAAAATAGACGATTCATGAACTAAAGAAACAAATAAAGGGGTTCTACGAGCTTATAAAAGTAATAAAATGTGTTGGTAAAATAATTTTTACATTCAGCAACGATAAAAATAATTGAAAACTTGCTAGGTAAGCCATTCTGCAGCTATAGAATTAAAATATAGTTGCAGAATGAATCTAACTACACTTGAAGGTTTTTGAACACTGTCATACACTAAATCAGTAATATTATTAAGTGTAACGGCTGTTTTCCTAAAACTAAATTTTATCTAAAATTTTGTTTTCGCATTACAAAAGCTGAGCTATCTAACACACTCGCTCTTTCGGCAGCATCTTAAACTTACTTAATTATCTAAAATAATCTAACGAAAGAGCTTTTGATGCTACATCTGCCTCAAACATTGTAGTTGTTTTTGTTGTAGCGGTAGAATTCTACCGAGTTGACAGTCTTTGGCCGGACAAAATCCGGGTCTGTTTCGATTACGTAAACCCGACAGTCGTGGGAGCCTCAGACACTCTTGTAGTGTTCTTAAATATCTCCTAAGTTCATCAACATTGGCTGTCTTCTATTTTCGATGTTCTGTATAAAACCGAATCGAACAAACTACTGGTATAAATCACATAAACTGGCCTAATTGTATACTTTTAATAAGTTATTCGTATACTAAATATTAACGTATACTCTTTTGTACTTAAGTATTATATGCGGCAAGAGAACAGAGCTCAAACGTAGCGAGCAGAGAAATGGCGAATCGAACATAATGTCAGTTTAAGAAACTGGTCGCATACGTTTCGATGTATTACATGAGTATATAATCTCACAGTAGTTATGATATATTTTTCTAAATAGCTAAGAGTTTTGCTGTTTTTCCCCACCGCAACTGTTGGCAATCTAAGCTAGTCTTCTAAGACATAGAAAGAAATTTGTTTTTGTTGAGATAAAGTGCCAGTTAAAGTAGTTGTCTTACAGAAAAATTTTGGCTAGCACAAAAAAAAATCTATAACTCATATTTCTATAGCACTGCACCACTTCCTACGAAGTTCTTTCGAAGCCAACAACAATTGCGCGCAACAAAATTAAATTCCATATGCAATCACCTACAAATTAGGCAACACAATTTGCTCTAACGGACAGACGTACATAAGTAACTACACTAATTTCACATCCAAATATGCATTCTAAAACAATTTGTGTTGTGAAAATTGCCTGCTCAGATTCGCATAGAAGATTAGTTGTACTTGCAACACATGCAAACACACCTACACGTGCAGGAAAACACACATGCATGTGGCAGGCGAGCAGCGGCGAGAAAATTGCCTACCAAAAATGACCTACTTTCAGACATAATTTGACGGCTACAACTACATATGCATATATGCGTGTGTGTGTGTGTATATATATGTGCAGGGCTATGAGTGTGCGCACAGATGCTGGCAATAACTAATAAAAAAGTTGGCAGCAGAAAATTTGAAAATAAAAAGCACATTAAAGCCAAATGGCTGAAGGATGGCTAAAACAACAAAAAATATGTAGAATAGCAATTCAAATAAGCGAAAATTCGCAGAAGTATATAATAATAAATAGTCGGCTGCAATTTCAGCGCGGCAGCGGAAAAAAATATGTGTTGCAACATTAACAGAGTACCTACAGACAGGCGCGTTGGGTGCCACGTTGACCTGTGAACGCATGTAGGCATGAAGCAACAAGCTTACAGCCCACTCGCGGCAGCCTTGAGCAGCAGTACGCCAGCCCTTTTTGTTGTTGTTGTTTTTGGTTTTTGCTTTCTTCTGCTGGCGGTGAAGAAAGGTGGCAATTGCGCACATTGTTGTTATTTTTGTATACTTTTTTTTTTTAATTTTTTCTATGCGCCCCACTTTAGTTGCATGCCGCATCGCCGCTTCCATATAACTCATCAAAACGGTCTCTTGAGGCTGACGCTTGTTCTTGTTCGCATACATATTGCACTATCACTACTAGCTGCCACTGCTGCACTGACGCGCACTATTTGTTGCATGGCTTGCTGGGCTAGCTTGTAGCAGTTAGTTGTACAACAAATAGTGGCTATGAATTGCTTTTGCAATTGTTGCAGTTAAAAGTTGCAAGCGGCTAGGCAAAAAATTGTTATAAAAACACAACAACAACAAACAAGCATTACAAAAAATTGCCGTGCAGCACAGCGTGTGGCAAGTAGTGGCGCTGGTAACACCGACTCTTAGCAGCACGGCAACAAGACAAATGGTCCCACGGGTGACATTACCCTTTTTTGTTACAAGGACACAGGCGTTGCAAGTTAGCTTATGCGCGCAACATTTTTCTTGTTGTTGCTGTCGCTAGTGGTTGTTCGCTAGTGCTCTAGTGATTGTTGTTGCTTTGAAATAAGCACGCAGTTTCCCCCAGTGACGCAAACAAGGATCTGCACTGCTGATAGTGGCACTTGCAACAAGGCTTTAGCACTCGTTATAGTTAGCGTAAGCGGGGGGAGGGGTGGCTGTTGGGCGAGCGTAGCGGCGCATATCAACAAACATGCGTGTCGTTTAGTGCTAGATAATTTTTATTATTGCCCAGCGCGTACAGGGATTTACTCGCTTTTTTTATTTATTTCATTCTTAATGACAACTTGCACTTGCTGCAACAGTGACAACTAACGCATGGGTGGCAGTGAGATGGTGGTGGTTGCTAACAAATGGCATTTACAATTCACAATGTTGGAAAATAATATATGTTGGGTGACGCAAACTCGTTCACATGCAAACTTTGACCGTTGGTACTGTGTGGCAACTACAAGTATCCTGCAGGAAAGTGGGTTATTTACATTAAAAAATGTATGTCAGAAAAATGTTCAAATTCATGCCCTTTGAATCAAAAATCTTTTTTTGTGGCTGAGTAGTTACGAACTAGTTTCACAGTAATCACTAGAGGACCAGTTTATTAACTGCTTTTAAAACATTCACTATATCTTTAATAAT